TTTTTTCCTCATTTTGTCTGTCATAGTTGACGTGTACCTATGATGAAAATTACAGGCCTCTCTCATCTTTTTAAGTGGTAGAACTTGCACAATTGGTGGCTGACTAAATACTTTTTTCCCCCACTGTATATACAGTTGAAGTCGGAAGTTTACATACACCTTAGCCAAATACATTTAAACTCATTTTTTTCACAATTCCTGACATTTAATCCTAGTAAAAATTCCATGTCTTAGGTCAGTTAGGATCACCACTTTATTTTAAGAATGTGAAATGTCAATAATAGTATAGAGAATGATTTATTTCAGCTTTTATTTATTTCATCACATTCCCAGTGGGTCAGAAGTTTACATACACTCAATTAGTATTTGGTAGCATTGCCTTTAAATTGTTTAACTTGGGTCAAATGTTTCGGCTAGCCATCCAAAAGCTTCCCACAATAAGTTGGGTAAAATTTGGCCTATTCCTCCTGACAAAGGTCCTGTAACTGAGTCAGGTTTGTAGGCCTCCTTGCTCGCACACGCTTTTCAGTTCTGCCCACACATTTTATAAAGGATTGAGGTCAGGGCTTTGTGATGGCCACTCCAATACCGTGACTTTGTTGTCCTTAAGCCATATTGCCACAACTTTGGAAATATGCTTGGGGTCATTGTTCATTTCGAAGACCCATTTGCGACCAAGCTTTAACTTCCTGACTGATGTCTTGAGATGTTGCTTCAATATATCCACATAATTTTCCTTCCTCATGATGCCATCTATTTTGTGAAGTGCACCAGTCCCTCCTGCATTAAAGCACCCCCACAGCAAGATACTGCCACCCCCGTGCTTCTCGGTTGGGATGGTGTTCGTCGGCTTGTAAGCATCCCCCTTTTTCGTCCAAACATAACGATGGTCATTATGGCCAAACACTTCTGTTTTTGGTTTCATCAGACCAGAGGACATTTCTCCAAACCGTAGTCTGGCTTTTTAATGGCAGTTTTGGAGCAGTTGCTTCTTCCTTGCTGAGCGTTTTTCAGGTTATGTCGATATAGGACTCGTTTTACTATGGATATAGATACTTTTGTACTAGTTTCCTCCAGCATCTTCACAAGGTCCTTTGCTGTTGTTCTGGGATTGATTTGCACTTTTTACACCAAAGTACATTCATCTATAGGAGACAGAACGCGTCTCCTTCTTAAGCGGTATGACGGCTGCGTGGTCCCATGGTGTATATACTTGCGTACTATTGTTTGTACAGATGAACGTTATACCTTCAGGCATTTGAAAATTGCTCCCAAGGATGAACCAGACTTTTTTTTTTTGAGGTCCTGGCTGATTTCTTTTGATTTTCCCATGATGTCAAGCAAAGAGGCACTGAGTTTGAAGTTAGGCCTTGAAATACATCCACAGGTACACCTCCAATCGACTCAAATTATGTCAATTAGCCTATCAGAAGCTTCTAAAGCCATGACATCATTTTCTGGAATTTTCCAAGCTGTTTAAAGGCACAGTCAACTTAGTGAATGTAATCTTCTGACCCACTGGAATTGTGATACAGTGAATTATAAGTGAAATAATCTGTCTGTAAACAATTGTTGGAATAATTACTTGTGTCATGCACTAAGTAGATGTCCTAACCAACTTGCCAAAACTATAGTTTGTTAACAAGAAATGTGTGGAGTGGTTGAAAAACAAGTTTTAATGACTCCAACCTAGGTGTATGTAAACTTCCAACTTCAACTGTACATAACTATAGAGAACATACAAAAACGATATGGTAATACAAAATGTAAGTTTACACACTCCCATGAATGTCATACATGATGGATCATTAGCTTATACACTAACTTTCACACATCTAGATGGCCGGGCGGGGTGGGTGTGGAGCCAGAGACAGAAGTTGTTCAAACTGTAGAACCCAGTTCCTGCATTTGAACATAAAAATTGATTTCATCAAAGAAAACTATGCTACATTATATGTCTGGGACCCTTAGGATGACAAATCAGAGCAAGATTACTGAATATAAGTACATTATTTACCTTCAGAGGTGAATGTATCAAATCAGTTGCCGTGATAAGTTTTCTGTTGTTGAGCACTCTCCTCAAACAATTGCATGGTATTTTTTTCTATGTAATAGCTACTGTAAATTGGACAGTGTAGTTAGATTAACAATAATTTAAGCTTTCTGCCCATATAAGACATGTCTATGTCCTGGAAAGTTTGCTGTTACTTACAACAGTCATGCTAATCACATTAGCGCATGTTAGCTCAACCGTCCCATATATGGGACACCGATCCCGTAGAGGTTAAAGTGTTTGTTGACTTGCTCCTGTGTGAATAAGAGCCCTGTCAGCAAAAATCTACAGTACAAAGGCCTACACAGAGGCTTCAGGCTTGTATACACTTATACTTTGTAATGCCAGTAAGAGGTTTCATTTCATATAAAAGTAGTCACTCATTGGTTATATGTATGCCATTTTTAATTCAAATATTTCCATCAATGTGTAACAAAGTTTTTTTTAAAAGACAAAATACTTATCTGATTGAATTGACAATTTGCTTACACCATATGTTACTGTACTAACCCTAACCCAACCCTAACCCTAGCTGTAACCCTAATCCTAGTCTTTCACCTATAAGGCCGAACAGTGAGTGACATCACCCTGTTTTGGTGATGACCAATGGGTCTGAGTTCTCCTCCCCATTCAGAAGATGTGGGCTGAGATATGGATACATTTCCCCAATAAAGGAATACCCAGTGAAAGAATATATGTGAGCCTTAGCCTCCACATCATAAAAAGACACCAAGCCCTCCTCATAATCCACAAACACCCCCACCTTCTGGGGCTTTTCTCTCAGTGACAACAGAAAAGGGGGGTCCCCCAAGGCTCCGAATTGGGCCCCATTATAATTCACTATAACCCAGTAACCGTTAGTAGGACTCACAGAGAGTTTCCCCTTCCTGTTGGCATCTCCTCTTGCTATTCCCAGATCCCAACCCGTCTTGTTCCCGACGTCCACCTCCCAGTATGATCTCCCAGAGGTTAGCTTGTTGTGCCCTAGGACGCTGCCGAAGTGATCAAAGCGACCCGGACAGTCAGGGAGGTCCTGTATCTTCCCTCCATCTCTCACCTCTTTCCCGTCCTCAGATAGAATCAGCTGTGTGTTCGCTGTGTCCGGGTCCAGTGTCACATCAACTGAATAATATCAAATATGGTTGTTATTGTTATGGAAATATATAGTATCTCACAAAAGTGAGTACACCCCTCACATTTTTGTAAATATTTGAGTATATCTTTTCATGTGACAACACTGAAGAAATGACACTTTGCTACAATGTAAAGTAGTGAGTGTACAGCTTGTATAACAGTGTACATTTGCTGTCCCCTCAAAATAACTCAACACATAGCCATTAATGTCTAAGCTGCTGGCAACAAAAGTGAGTACACCCCTAAGTGAAAATGTCAAAATTGGGCCCAAAGTGTCAATATTTTGTGTGGCCACCATCATTTTCCAGCACTGCCCTAACCCTCTTGGGCATGGAGTTCACCAAAGCTTCACAGGTTGCCACTGGTGTCCTCTTCCACTCCTCCATGACGACATCACGGAGCTGGTGGATGTTAGAGACCTTGAAGTCCTCCACCTTCCGTTTGAGGATGCCCCACAGATGCTCAATAGGATTTAGGTCTGGAGACATGCTTGGCCAGTCCATCACCTTTACCCTCAGCTTCTTTAGCAAGGCAGTGGTCGTCTTGGAGGTGTGTTTGGGGTCGTTATCATGTTGGAATACTGCCCTGCAGCCCAGTCTCCGAAGGGAGGGGATCATGCTCTGCTTCAGTATGTCACAGTACATGTTGGCATTCATGGTTCCCTCAATGAACTGTAGCTCCCCAGTGCCGGCAGCAGTCATGCAGCCCCAGACCATGACACTCCCACAACCATGCTTGACAGTAGGCAAGACACACTTGTCTTTGTATTCCTCACCTGGTTGCCGCCACACATGCTTGACACCATCTGAACCAAATAAGTTTATCTTGGACTCATCAGACCACAGGACATGGTTCCAGTAATCCATGTCCTTAGTCTGCTTGTCTTCAGCAAACTGTTTGCGGGCTTTCTTGTGCATCATCTTTAGAAGAGGCTTCCTTCTGGGACGACAGCCATGCAGACCAATTTGATGCAGTGTGCGGCGTATGGTCTGAGCACTGACAGGCTGACCCCCCACCCCTTCAACCTCTGCAGCAATGCTGGCAGCACTCATTCGTCTATTTCCCAAAGACAACCTCTGGATATGACGCTGAGCACGTGCACTCAACTTCTTTGGTTGACCATGGCGAGACCTGTTCTGAGTGGAACCTGTCCTGTTAAACCGCTGTATGGTCTTGGCCACCGTGCTGCAGCTCAGTTTCATGGTCTTGGCAATCTTCTTATAGCCCAGGCCATCTTTATGTAGAGCAACAATTATTTTTTTCAGATCCTCAGAGAGTTCTTTGCCATGAGGTGCCATGTTGAACTTCCAGTGACCAGTATGAGGGAGTGTGAGAGCGATGACACCAAATTTAACACACCTGCTCCCCATTCACACCTGAGACCTTGTAACACTAACGAGTCACATGACACCGGGGAGGGAAAATGTCTAATTGGGCCCAATTTGGACATTTTCACTTAGCGGTGTACTCACTTTTGTTGCCAGCGTTTTAGACATTAATGGCTGTGTGTTGAGTTATTTTGAGGGGACAGCAAATGTACAATATTATAAAAGCTGTACACTCACTACTTTACATTGTAGCAAAGTGTCATTTCTTCAGTGTTGTCACATGAAAAGATATACTCAAACATTTACAAAAATGTGAGGGGTGTACTCACTTTTGTGAAATACTGTATATGGGCATATATAAGGCCTATCGGTTGGCCTGAATGAGGTTAAAATGTGGCCTACTACAAAATGAATGTGATTGAGATGTTCTCCCAAGGTATTTATATAATAATGTAGTTTTACACTGAAATAAAACAATACACACGTGCAAACTTTAGGATCCTCTCAAGTTCTGTGGAAGAAATCACATATTTGGGATGTCAGGGTACTTGCAACATATCAAGCTAAACAGAAAAACACTGGAAAGTAGGCCTTACAATATTTATGATTTTTAGTACTGTTTATATTGTCTCAATCTTTTACCAACTGAGGAGAGCTTCTCCAGCTCCTGCTTGATTCTCTCCATCATGGTCGACCAGCTGCTTCTCATGGTGCCAAAGGAGAGTGTAGTATCAACGGAGACCTCGGTCCAGTCTCTACCATCACCCAGCCCCGACAGGGACGGGAAAGTCTGGTGGCGAGACAGATGGAGGGAAGAGGGAAGGAAAGAGAGGGAGAGAGAAGAATCGAGAGAGAGAGAGAGAGAGAGATATTAACGGAGAAAGATGACAAAGATCATTGAACACTTGTTTTTCATTATACTGTTTCATTATTATGTCATTCAAATTCAAGCATTTTTAGAAAGGCAATAGACACTCCTGTCCAGTACAATCCATGATCTGCATTTCACACAATACTGGTACACAAACACACGCATCAACTAACTTTGGAACAGCTTGCAGAATGTTCAGAGTGTGGTGCCAGTGGAGATCCCTTGTTGATCACAGAGTAAAAGGGTTAAAGTCAAAGTAAAGTCACTCACCTGCAGGAAGTCGATGTGATCTTCCAGGTCAGCAACATCCTCCAGTTGACCAATGGTTTCTCTCAGTTCTCTGATCTCTCTCCACAGCTCCTGGGTTGAGTTCTCCTGCCTCTCTCTCCAACTCCTGCTGCCTCTCCTCCAGGGGCCTGAGAGCCTCTCGCTGGGTCTCCTCTACAGCTGCCATCACTGCTTTGAACACAGAGTCAATCTCCCTCCTCTCCCTGTCCACGTGGGCCTAGAGGATGGATGGTGGACAACAACTTAGTATTCCCTCAATGTCTATCTCCCTCCTGTCTGTTTGCCTCTGTCTGCCTCACTTTTCACTTTACTATTCTCTCTGTGCTTGTCTCACTGTCTGTGTTTCATGTCTCTCTTTCTCCCTGTCCCTCTCTATGTGCAACAGGTCTCTCCGCCTGTCTCATGGTTAACTATTTCACTGTTACAGTCCTCCATCTCTGTGTTTGCAGGTAGACATGTAGTAACTCACTCCGACTCACAAAAGTATCCCTTTAGAGTTATAGTTCCTCATGTCTTTGTGGAGACAGTCCAGATTAATTGTACTATCTTGGTTCCCTCTCTCTGTGCTTGTAACTTGGTCTCATGTGCACTGTTCCAGTCCTCCATCTCTGCCGGTAGACATGTAGCACTTCACTCTGACTCAACCAGGCCTCACCTTGCACTGCTCCACAGACACCCTGATCTCCTCCAGCTTTGTCTCCCTCTTCAGGATCCTCTCCTGCATATCAGCCTTGGTGCTCCCCAGGTTAGCCTAGGACATACAAACATGTATACACACACACACACACACACACACACACACACACACACACACACAAACACACACACAATTAAACTATCTCATGGTTTTGTGATTAGTTAATTTCATCACTCGATACACGCTCTCATTCAGACCCAGCCATTACTATACACCTGGAAACACAGCGCAACGTCTACAGCCATTATTGAACCCATTGCAAATATGACAGTATGAAAACCCATTGAAAATATGACAATATGACACCTTCTTCCTGTCCCACTCCGTTTCCACGGAGATGACCTCGTGACCCTCCTCCACGCAGAGGGCACAGACACAGCGCCCCTCTGCCCTGCTGTACAGCTCAAGGGGACGACCGTGGGTCAGACACGCCCTCCCATCCAGGTCCTCCACAGGGGCCACCAGCCTGTGGCCCTTCAGCCTGCCTGCTGAGGTGTGGGGGCCCAGGTGAGTCTCGCAGTACGAGGCCAGACACACCAGACAGGATTTATGGGCCTTGAGCTTCCTCTCGGTGCAGATGTCACAGGCCACCTCACCTGGAGCTCCAGAATACTCCCCTGGCTTCCTCTCCTGGGCCTTCTTCAACTCCTGAATGAGGGTACTGAGGATGATGTTCACCTGTGGGTGATATTGTGCTTTGTTTATCAATTTGATGCTGTTACTGTTTATTATCTATCCCGTTGCTTGTCACTTTATCCCTACCTATATGTACATATCTACCTCAACTACCTCGTACCCCTGCACATCGACTTGGTACTGGTACCCCGTGTATATAGCCAAGTTATCATTACTCATTGTATATTTATTCCTTGTGTTATTATTTTTCTATGTATTCCTTGTGTAATATTTGTTCTACTATTTCTCAATTTTTTCTTTCTGCATTGTTGGGAAGGGCCCATAAGTAAGCATTTCACCTGTTGTTTACGAAGCATCTCATTTGATTAGATTTTAGTACAATACATCCCCCAAACAACAGGTTGATGTAGTGGGGAAAATGGCTAAGACAGGAAGTGTTATATTGAGTTTATCTAGCATTAATTCACCTGTGGGTTCCTCCTCAGATGCTTCTTGCAGACAGGGCATATGAGGTCGTTGAAGTGGAGGTTGCATTCCATGCAGGACTGGCAGAAGGTGTGGCCACAGGGGGTGGTGACAGGGTCCTTAAACAGGCCCAGACAGATTGAGCAGTTCAGGTGCTGCTCGATCAGAACAGGGGTGTCAATGGAGATGGAGACTGCAGATGAGAAGGCCATCTCTAATATGGGATGTTAAAGATATCAGATTCATTATTCATCGTTCATTAAACAGGCAGTCTTCAGTTGCTACATCTTTTTTGCGACTTATAAATTGATATGTACCTGTTGATTCTTGAACGATATAACTTATAAATGCCTCATGAGCTTAGTTCAACTGTCGTACCCCATCAGAACCGAAAATATAAGCTTGTGTTACTCCAATGTTTGTAAACAATGTTGTAAATGTAAACAAACACTGTGTTCTTTAAAACATGGTTAAAACTATAATCTTGATATAATGGATGGTCAGTCCTTGCACCCACAGGTCTGTCAATTATTTTAAGAGTGGTTAGATTTCTCCAGCCCCATCGCTAAGCTTTTTACCGAAACAAGGGTGGGAATCACACTTTGTTATTGTTTCAACTGCTGATTGCCTATTTAAGAGACTTTAACGCATATTAGAGATGCATCAATGTGGTGTAATCTATTTTATTTGTGGACACTCAAGTTCTGATAATCGAAGTTACTTAACCCATTTTCATGTTACTTTAACAATTCACATTGCAGCAGCGTTTTGGTTTTTGCCCTAGCACCACACAGCTGATTCAAATAATCAAAGCTTGATGATGAGTTCATTATTTGAATCAGATGTGTAGTTCTAGGGTAAAAAACGAAATATGCACCCTTTGGGGTCCCCAGGACCGAGTTGGGAAAACACTGCTGTACAGTATACTCACAACTTTGCTGTGTAACTGAGGTATTAACATTAACACTGTTTGGTCGCCCTCTGCTGGTACAGGAACAGTACAACACCATCCTGATACATTGTCTATGGAGGTATTTGCATCAGTCAAATGAGATTGCGCAGTAAGACAAACAGGTACACCCACAGATGGTATGACCACTGACACACCCATGTAACGAGAGAAGCCTCTAAGGCACTGTGTGTAAATACCTACCGACCGACCGACCGACCTACCTATCTACCGACCTACCTACCTACTGTACTGACCTACCTACCTACCTACCTACCTACCTACCTACCCACCTACCTACTTACATACTTTTGACTATTCCATGGATTATTGAATGAGGTTATACTGTTGACTAGTTTTGATACAGAAATAATAATAAAAGTAGTTTTACCATAGTCCTTCAAAGTATAATATATGTCTGTCAACAGTATTCCATCATGTCATAATGGATTACATCTATCGTACCTGTACATGGTCAATAACAAACAATCAATAATACATGACAGTTGAACATCATTCCTTGACATCCTACGTCAACACATCATGATGGTAGCATAATGTACAGATAAAAGTCATACAATCTGTTTTTACTGTAAGAAAAAACATATTGCCAGTACCTTTCAGCTGATGCTATCTTCCTTTACTTTAGGCTTATATACTCCCTGTGTGTTTGCTCTCTATTTCTCTCTGTCTTTTCTTCCATGAGTTTCGTTTCTGCAATCATAACAAATCCACACCCCTTTCCTTGAATCAGGTATGTCTACATCAATACCAGAGTTGGCCTATGCAAACATGTGTGGCAAACCTGTGTATGTGTGTGTTTTATTTTTGAAAGTCAAACATCTTTCTTTGAGTGCAGATTTATTACCAAAGTTTCACTTCTGTGGCATTCCTTTAGGTTAATGACAGGCTGCAGTATTTACTCAAGACAAAGATAAAACTCTGCTAAATGCACATTCACAAAAACGTGACGACCCTGCATAATACTTGATTGGTGGGTCATACTGTTTTCTGGCAACCTTCTAAATAATTAAGATGAATTATGAGATAAATTACATATAACACATTTGTATTTACTCTGGTCAAATTATAAGAAGCCATACATTTTAGTGGTGCGCGGGTCAGCTGTTTGTTCACCTGCAATTGCTAATTACCCATCTGATACCGCCCGACTATATGTGATAAAGTGAAAATCTGAGGCCCAACGCTAACCCGCAAATATAGAAAATGAGCTATATGCTACAGTCAGATGGCAGAAAGATTTTTTGACAGGGGCTGCATGATTTGTTTTTGCATGATTACGATATGCTTCTGCTTATAATTTCTGACATTTTGGTAGGCTATTTGTTAGTCAACTTGTCTATAATTAGATACATGTAGCTTCTCTTTTGTCATTATATGTTAGACCAAATAAACCCTTGCTCAACAGAATAATGTAATAGATTGATAGAATGAATGCTTCAATCTATATAGTTTTCTCTGTTATATTTTGCGTAGCAAAGACCTTCAGGGAATGGGGATAAAGCACAATAAAGCAAAGAAAATTGATTTTCTGTGAAAAAATTCCAAATGACATCAGTTTGACCGGTTGTAAGGAAAAAGAAAGTAGTGAAAACGACCCAACGTTTTTTCTGATAAGATTTCAGTTCAGATTCAGTTCTCAACTCCTGTGGTTGGACGCCACTCGGGCCTGATGGATGTTTCCCCACCTTGTCCTCTGTCCCTATCCGAATGGCCTGTGCTACCTGGAACTATCCTGCCAAGGAAGTCGTCTCCATCTGATTCTCCTCCTCCATCTTGTAGTGGAGTAGACAGAGAACAGCAAGAGGATTGTTCCAATCAGCGCTGGTCCCATGTCACAAGTCCTGGAAACCGAAGGCAGCGGCATGCTGAATAGAATAGCTTCGCTGCACTGGTGTCTGATCTACCTGCACCTTCAACGCTGGGACTGCCTGTGTCTGCAACGGCTGTGCTGACTCCAACTATGCTGACTCCAGCAGCGGCTTCGTCGTCGTGTTCGGCTTCTTTCCCTCTCTCTGGATCTGACGGGGCACTGCCTGCTGTGGGAGGTCTGGACCTTTCGTCAGGAGCAGTGGGCGTATGCTATCCTGCTACTTATGGGCCGTGAAATGTTAAACGAATTGTTGGAGCACGAGTACAGGACATCAATAAGCTGCTCCCAAACATTTTAAACCTGCATCAGGAAATTGAGTCTATCATAGTTAATGTGGGACTCAATGACATTATGAAGGGCAGCTCAGAACAGCTGAAGATGGATTTTAAAGAACTGATTAGGTGTCTGCTTGACACTAACAAATGCCCCATAATGTCTGGCCCTGTGCTCTCCCCGTGGCATTGAACGTTTCAGCAGACTTTTTGCCCTCCATAACTGGCTACAAGACTATTGCAGCTTTGTGGGTGTAACATTTATTGACAATGTTGATACCTGGAAACAAAGCTTGTGTTATAAGGAGGATGGGATCCACCCAAATCATTTGGGTTCCTGGATCCTTTCACAGCATTATAAGGCTACATTGAGACAATGACTTATCAATGACCCAAGCCCAGCTCACTTAATCTGAGTTGTCATTATGACATCTCAGCAACATAATGGTTGGGATTAACTGAGCTGGGCTTGGGTCATTGATAAGTCATTGTCTCAACGTAGCCTTATAATACTATAAAATGTACCTTATCCCATGGTATTGGAAGACACAATGTAAGTAGCCTAATGTATGTCCCTCTAACTGCCCTGAATGCCTCTGCTGATCCTACAGCTATTGTATACAGTAAGCATGTGCCTATGAACCAGAGTTATACTGCTCACCCTGCACTAACATAAATAACATGAGCATGTCTACTTCTGCTAAGCTTTCCAGTAAAGCAATGAAAACAATCAAGCATCTCAGAAATGTGCTAAAAAATAGCTCACATTAAAATTTGTAGCTTAAGAAACAAGGTTCATTAAATAAATAATTTGCTAGTAACAGATGACATTCATATTCTGACAATCTCTGAAACTCACTTAGATAATACCTTTGATGATACAGTGGTAGCAATACATGGTTATAACATCTACAGAAAAGACAGAAATGCCAATGGGGGCGGTGTTGCCGTTGATATTCAGAACCACATTCCTGTAAAGCTTGGAGAGGATCTCATGTTAAATACTGTTGAAGTAATATGGCTTCAGGTTGATCTGCCTCACCTAAAGCCCATTCTGGTGGGAAGCTGCTATAGACCACCAAGGTCTAAAAGTCCGTATCTGGATAACATGTGTGAAATCTTTGATAATGCATGTGATATAAATATAAATGTACATTTGCTGGGTGATTTCAATATTGACTGGCTTTCATCAAGCTGCCCACTAAAGAAAAAGCTTCAAACTGTAACTAGTGCTTGCAACCTGGTTCAGGTAATCAGTCAACCTACCAGGGTTGTTAGAAACAGCACAGGAATAAAATAATCAATATGTATTGATGATGTGTAATGAGGAGCAACCAGACACTGCACTTGACACATTTATGAAATCGCTTATTCCAGTTACTAATAAGCATGCACCCATTAAGAAAATTACTGTAAAAACTGTTCAATACCTGTGGATTGATGAGGAATTGTAAAATTGTATGGTTGAGAGGGATGAGGCAAAATAAATGGCAAATAAGTCTGGCTGATTGGCAAACGTACTGCAAATTGAGAAATAATGTGACTAAACTGAATAAAAAGAAGAAACTACACTATGATACAAAGATAAATAACAAAGAATGATAGTAAAAAGCTTTGGAGCACCTTAAATGAAATTTTGGGCAAAAAGGCAAAATCAGCTCCATCATTCATTGAATCAGATGGCTCATTCATCACAAAACCCACTGATATATTGGCAATTACTTTAATTTTTTTTTTTATTGGCAAGATTAGCAAACTTAGGCATGAAATGCCAGCAACAAATGCTGACACTACACATCAAGTATAACTGACCAAATTATGAAAGACAAGCATTGTAATTTTAAATTCTGTAAAGTGAGTGTGGAAGAAGTGAAAACAATATTGTTGTCTATCAACAATGACAAGCCACCGGGGTCTGACAACTTGGATGGAAAATAACTGAGGATGATAGCGGACGATATTGCCACATCTTCAATCTAAGCCTACTAGAAAGTGTGCCCCCTCAGGCCTGGAGGGAAGTGTCGTGTATGAAGATTATGACTATTCTAGAGGAACAAAGAGTGAATGTTTATCTTAGTTCAAAAGTAGCCATTTGTGGGGTGACGCCCCAGGGGAGACGGGTGATTGGACAGAAGAGGGAGCAACCCATCTTTTTGCATTGTTTATAAGTATATGCTGGAGGCAGGAGAAGGCAGAGCAGCCATTACAATTCGAGGACACTGCTCTCCGGGGGTTTCATGACACCTGTAACTCATGCTGAAAGCTTGTGATATGAATAAACTTATGATCAAAGGTTCAGTATGAGCGGACTCCTTTGTTTGACAGCAATGAGCACCAGCATTCGACGCGATACGACATAATGGGGGCTCGTCCGGGATCCGTATGCATCGTTCTTTGTCCCATTCCTGAATCGCGAGATGACTACCGCTCAACCCGGCTAAGGTGAGATTCCTCACAAATTATTGGGCGTTTAGTTGTTTGGCTGGTTTATGAAAGGGCACTGAAAGGTGTACCGTTTAAATTACTTGGGTTTTGTGCTGATGTGGTGCTATTGCGGTCGACTAGGAGTCTGTCATAATTATTCTAAAATTGTACAGCAATTGAAGGCAGATATTAACGGCAGATATTGGCAGATATTGGCAGATATAATACAAGGCAGATATGCGTATACATTAGGGCACTGTACCGCGTAAGACCCCGGAGTGGGCCATCTAATGATGGGCCGAAAATCCGTTTGCGCGTTAGAATGTGCATTCGGTGTGTTTTAAAGAAAAACTCGGGTTGATGGAATTTATCTGATTGTGATTATTGCTCGACTTTCATCCGACGGGGTGTCCGCTTGGGGGAATCTCTCAGTAGATGGTCATTAAACTCACGGCATCACAAACGGTAGAAAATAAGACAAAGAAAGGGCAGTGCAGGGTAGCTGTTGCGTGTTGCTAGCCACAGGTTAGCTAAAGGCTAAAGGCTAATGCTAATGATAAATGCTGGTTGTGTTTCATGCCACATTGTACATAAAGGCTAATGCTAAATGCTAATGCTAAATACTAATTGTGTTGCGTGCTACATGCTAACGGGTGTCCTTAGGGGGGCCATTGCGATGGAATAACCCTCTTAAATTTGTTTGTGTGTGTAGAATTCAGAGTTCTACGCAAATGTGAGCTCTGTTAAGTGTAATTGTTTGATTATAAGGTATAAAATAGTGAAGCTGTAGCGGAATGCTAGCGGTCTATTGTCTGGAAATCGTATCGTTAAATGTATTTGCGCATGCGTGTAATTTTGCGACACTACACTACAGAACGTGGGAGTTTATGGCACGAGATTAGGACACGTTTGGTTTCCGGCACTAAAACTACAACACGTTATTTACTAAAACTACAACAAAGGGGATTGTGGGTAAAGTGTCATATTTCTGTTGGGCTGTGCTGCAGGGGGAGACAGAGAAACACAGACGAGGGAACAAAGAGGAAAGATTTGAAAATGAATTAAATCTTCTAGTTGTTACATCGGCTGTTGGTTAAAGATAACTGTTTTGTGACCTATAAATTAGATATATGTTGACGGATTATAATAAATTAAATTAAATGACGATTAAATTAAAAAAAAAATGTTTTTGAGCGATCTATTTATTCCTGAGTTGATTCTTAGAGCGAATGTGAACGAAGGAATGTTGAATGCTGAAAGTAACTCAGTGATTGCATGAACTACTAAAATCTTTTTCTGTGTCTCTGTTCTTTTGTCATATGAGAGGAACGATGGAGAGAGAAAGAGAGGGGGTGCTGACGTGACATCACGTGACGCGACAGAGGATCGAGTCAAGGGGTTTTGGTACTGGTCTGTTTGCAAAATCTTCCCCTACAGGATGTTTGATGTTATGACAATTTCACATAGGCTTGGCAAATACTGATTCATTAAAAATTGCATTTGGGAGGCTCTGTTCATCACTTGGGTTGATTGGAGTTGTGTTGGGAATCGAGGACTGACATTATTCTGTAAAATTTAAATAATTAGGTGCTTATAGAGCAAGGGGGTTTATGGGTAGTGTAGTAATGGTAGGGTTAGAGGCTTTGTTTTTAGGAGTGTAGTCTGAAGTTGACTACTTGCATTTGATGGGTTGTGGTAAGATAGCCACTAATTGATAAATTGGTAAGATAGGATATAGAAATAAAAAATGGGTTTAATTATTCATACATTTTAATTGAATTTTTTAAATATTAATATTAATATTTTTGTTGATATATATATATATATTCTTTTTTTTTTTGGGTTGTTTGGTTTATATTAATAATTAAAGGGGGGAAGCCATAGGCTATATAGTCTAAAATAAAATAATTCACAATAAAGGAATATAAAAGGGTTGGTACAATGGGAAAGGACAGCAAGGCTATGAAAGTCATTACACCGGTTGATATAGTTGAGAATAGTAATCCTTTAGTTAAGGGTGTTGCGAGGTTATCCGGCAAACGAAACAAAAGTTGCCCTTCATTCTCAAACAAAAACTGATAAAAGATTCCAGCGATAAGATAAACAAAGGTATAGAGAAAATGCTAAAGGAAGAGAAGGCGACAGAAAAACTAATGGCAGAAGTTAGTACACCTTTCTCACATACGGATTCAGCAAAAACACCCCCACCTTATGAGAAGGAAGTAGAGTTTAGGGATGTTTATCCTCAGCTTCCAGTGATCATCCAGGAGGGTGATTATTGCATCAGAGATGAAGATGAACGAATAATAGAGAGAGGACAAGCAGAAACGACGATAAAGATGAATCCAAAACTCCAGAAGGAAGAAAATGAGATGTCTGGAAGAGAAGAGTGAGGTTAAGGAAGATTGAACTTGAAGAAGATGATGAAGATGAAGATCAGAGTGATTGAGAAGAGATCATGGGTGGATATGACTCTGTGATCAGATGGAAGTTGAAGGAAGAAGGATACAAGAGATTCGAGTTCTGATGAAAGCGATGAAGATTTGGAGATTAAAGGTGCTTTATGTTCAAGAGGATTTTATCCTACAATGACTAGCAAAGAAGAAATAGAGATATAGACCGATGCTTATCATGCCTGGATAAAGCAAATAGTTTAGAAGAAGTAACACAACTGGATGAACAATTAAAGAAGAGAAGATACAGAAGGAGAAACTGCTGAGAAAAGGATCCCAAGAATTGGAGGAGAAGAATACATTGAGGCCAAGAAGCTGAAGAAAAGTAAGAAGATGATGGAAGATGATATTTCGAGGACAGAACTTAGAATATAAGCTGTTGAAGAATCCTGATATGTCAACAACAAAGAACAGGACAAAGAAATTCTCAAAAAACTCAATCATACAACTGGTGGAGAAGGAGAAGAGAAGCTTTGGTTATGAAGAATCAGAGTGAACCAAATCAACAATCACTGTTACAGCTTCAACTGAACAAGATCAAATGCAATTGTACCAGCCAAGGAGGGTACCAGGTGTTTCATATCCACAGCCAGTTTCTGGACAAACACAGAATTGGAGAGGAAGAGGACGAGAAGGCTTAGAAGGAGGAGGAAGATTTCAGGTACACTTCCAGCAACTTTCAGAAGAGTGTTATAATTGTGGACAGATTGGTCACTTTACCTGTGAGTGCAATAAGTCAGGAGGAAACATCAGAGGGAATTTCAGAGGAAGATACAGGGGCCAGTCAAGATCATCTGGAGGACCGGTGAACCCCTACAGGGGGCCGGAGCAAAGAGTCTAGAGCCTAGAAGATACAAAGGGGGGTGTCAGCTGATAGCATCGATTAGAGAAGAAGAGAAAATATCTAACAATTGAGGTAAAAACAAAGGACTAGGAGAGGTGAATAGTAGAAAAACTTGTATCTGTGTTCAGCCTAAAGAGGTTAAACATCTCACTATGTAAAATTAACTAATTAGGATAGGGATTTGAGGTAGTAAAACAGCTAATTACTCTTAAGGAACCAATTGAGCTCTGCTATAAAACTCAAAGAGAAATTAAAATAGACATACTAATATTAGAACATATACCTATTGCATTGTTGGAAAGAGATGCATTGTGTAAATTGAACTGTACAATAAGATGTACACTAGACGGCTGTTTGGTAGAAGATTTTAAAAAGTAGGGTTTTTGGGAATCATATTTGCTTAAAAAGATAATATCATAGGAAGCATGATAATCTATTAGACTGCCTATTAGACAATCTGTCTGAAAAATAAAGTTAAAAGGGGTGACTGTTATTCTGGGTTACATTCTTACACCAAGAGATTTCAGGCTAGGCTAAAAGGTGTTTCAGTCGTTTGCCAAGTCTGTGTGTAAAGAAGTCAGAAGTAGGTGGGGACTTCCCAATCACATATTCTAAAAATTGGTGGTAAAGGATTTTGTGAATAAATCAGTGGGAAAGGTTTTTAAAAAGTTAGGAGAAAATATTAGATTTTAAAAAAAAGTTAGGAGAACTAGGGTTGAAGGAACTCTAAGACAGTAAGCTAAGTTTCAATGTTAGTTAGTAGTAAGAGAGAGAGAACAATGGTGAAGGACATTTTTAGAATTTAGTGGGAAGATAGATATGGTAGGAGTTTAGATCTGTTAGGAGCAGATGCATTGAGAAAGTATGCGTTGCTGAATGATAAGAGAAGATTGAGGGTGATTGAGTATCTATATTTACAATTCCCAGCAGGAAGATCAAGGTAATTGTGGGTGTTTGTTTATAATCAAAAGTTTGAAAGTCAGGGATTAGAGGTAGGACTGAGAGTTAAAAAAAAGTGACACTAGTGGTGATAGATGGAAGTACAAGCAAAGAGTTCAAAGCTTTGGGGAAACTAGATTAAGTAACAATAATGACATTAACACTTCAGTATATTAAAACAACAGTGAGAAGCAATTTAACTCTTTCAACATTGATAGTTATTAAAGCCATAAATATATCGCATTTGATTATAAGGGAACCAATAGCTCCAGCACCAATTTTAGGGGGAAAAATACTTATTAGGGTTAGGATGGGGACGTTCCTCCCACATGGAGAGATAATTATGGAGAAGAAGTATTGTTATCAGGACAGGAAGTAGAAGCTGTTGCACCTAGTCAAAGGAGGTATAGTTTGTACAACAATATGAAGTGGAAGAGGGTTATGAGTGATTGTTCATTTATTTTGCGTAATGTTACAGAGAAAGATCAGGGAGAATATATGTGTACTTATCTAGTGCAAGCATTAAAATTTGTTCCGGTTAAGAATTATTGGTTAAAAGGCTATGTAATTCGTAAAGTAACGCTTATAATGGAAGAGTTGAGGTCTGTTGTAGCCTCCACGGTCACCAAAGGAGTTCAGGATAAGTTTATTACAGTAGTCACTCCAACAATAAATAATACACAGAGTATATCGGTAACTTTCCCACTAGAAGTAATTAAGGGTGATAATTCATCAACTAAATCAACTACTTTAATGGTAACTTTGGAAGGAATTAATGGTACGACGGCAATAACAAATGTAGGAAGTATGACACCGACACCGACAACAACTTTTCTGAAATTAAAGGATGTAGCAGGAATGACTCAGCAGATACTGGTAGAGAACAATATAGATTCATCTGAAATAGTGCAAGATAATATCATGGAGGTACAGGATGAGTTCTTTGAGTTCAACATAACATCAGAAGATACATCTGATCAATACCGCTCGTTAGGGAAAAGAGAAGCTAAATGGAAAGCATATGGATTTGATTCTTCTGTTTTGAAGATTAAAGATGAATGGGCAGGGAGAAATCTTTGGTTCCAGCAGTTAACTCATTCTGTAAGATCAGTGAGGAATCTTGAGGGTCCATGTCTGTTGAGAATTCCAGCACCAGACACGTGGGGTTCGACCTCTATCAAGTATGTGTCAATCTTGTGCTTTGTCATGACTGTGGTATCAGCAACAGTCAGTAACAGATAAAATAATGTCGTTGTCAAAACATTTGTTTAAGCCTATGTTTAGGTGTTCTTGGTTAAATGAATTACCCTATGGGAATTTGTAGACGGTAAGGAGAATCAGGTAACAGCGAACCCTGAAGCATTGGAGGTGAAACCAGTGAGGGCTAAAAGTTGTTTTTGTTCTAATAAAACATATGATGTAAGGGGTATGTTTATGGGAATATCAGATTGTGATGATTATATGATGACTTTGGATAAGCATGAACATAAGGTTAGAGATGACAAATATAATGTAACTTTTTATGTTCCAGTTAGTAAGAAGAGCAGGACTTTGATGGTTAAAAGATTAGCTTTTGCCTGATAATATAACTATTGGGAATTTTAGAGATATTTGGAGGGTTTGTGGTGATAAAGCGTATATATTCTTACCCTATGGATGGACAGGATGTTGTTACATGTCAACGTTGAAGCTTCCATATGAGGCTTTTACCATTAAAAGAGGAATAGCACCGGACACAGATAAATCTAAATCTAGGTTTGGAAATAGGGTGAAAAGAGACATGGCGACATGTCATAGTCTTCAGCCTATCATTGGAGGATAAGGCTAAGAGAGAAGGGGGGAGTTTTTCCATGGTATGGTGTAACATCTTTGGCAGATCATCTTGATAATATTACATATACTTTGATTCCAGATAGTTATAGATGCATTGAAGAATATAAGGGATGCGTTTGGTAGATCTGAAGGAGCTGGATGGTCAGCGAAGACTTGGTTGCAAGATCAGTTAGGCCAGTAGGAGCAGTGATGGATTACATTTTAATAGCAGCTTTGATAACACTGTGTGTGATGTTTGTAATTTGTTACTGACCTTTGAGAAAGCTATGATATTGAGATAGGTTGGAGTAGTGATGCCTGGAGACAACACTCAGATGCCGGTGTTGACTGTTCCTGATCTGGATGAAGATGGACAAGTGGAACTGAATGGATAAATATCCTTTTTGATGTTTTCATCATTTTTTCATTTTTTTTCAATATTAGTGTGATTTTAGTATGATTTTATGAATCAAAGGGGGGAAGTGTATGAATGAATCACATTATCCTATTTCATTATTCTATCATTTATATTGATTCATACATCATTTATATATAATTTTTATATTCTTAGTTGATATTGATGTTTAATTTGAAAGTGTTGTTTTGCAAAAGATACTGTTTGGTCTTTTATTTTCTTCCAGAAGCATTTGGGGGAACATGTAGAGATTGAAATACTCAAACAAGGACAATATGAAGGGACAATATGAAAGGAGAATGACTGGAGGAGATGGAACCAGAAAGGTGTGGAAAGGTTCCCATTCCATCATCAACAATGCATTAGAAGAGGAGACTACGGGAGGAGATGAAGTGTAGTGGACTACATTCCAGTGTCTGCAATGAAATATAGACATATTTGCATGTGTAATACATAATTTGTGTCATATTCTTAGGCATTAATTTTTGTAGAATGATATTTGATGTTATTGGATACATGTGGGGATCTTAGATGTTTTTGTTTATTTCGTTGATGCTTAGGGACAGGGAGTCTAGGCAGGGAGAGGTCCACTGGGTTGACCAGCCTTAGAGTGGACATTTTTTGGATAGTATTTTGTTTGCAGGGGCTTTCATGTGTATTTAATTGCATCATAGTTTCAAATGCATTTATAAAGAGTTATGAATTCATTGGGAGTACCTAGGTGGTTGCCTGGGGCAGAGGGACCGTGAGAGAATTTTACTGTCTTGATTGATGGATGGATATCTGGAAAGATGGCTGCCAGACAGTTTTTCGCTCTTACACTCCATAAAGATTTGTTCATATTTCATAGTAATGTATTCACACTTCATAAACATTTATTCATATTTCATAGAAAGGTATTTACACTCTAGAGGAGAATGGTTTTTGGTTTAATGTTAAAGATACTCAATAAGATAAATTGTTACTGGTCATAATCCTATTCTGTTTGTTTTCGAGACTTTTAGTTAGTCTCGAAGGGGGGATATGTCGTGTATGAATATTATGACTATTCTAGAGGAACAAAGAGTGAATGTTTATCTTAGTTCAAAAGTAGCCATTTGTGGGGTGACGCCCCAGGGGAGACGGGTGATTGGATAGAAGAGGGAGCAACCCATCTTTTTGCATTGTTTATAAGTATATGCTGGAGGCAGGAGAAGGCAGAGCAGCCATTACAATTCAAGGACACTGCTCTCCGGGGGTTTCATGACACCTGTAACTCATGCTGAAAGCTTGTGATATGAATAAACTTATGATCAAAGGTTCAGTATGAGCGGACTCCTTTGTTTGACAGCAATGAGCACCAGCATTCGACGCGATACGACAGAAGCAAAAGTAATTCATCTACCCAATAATAGTAAAGCACCCTTTACTGGCTCAAATAGCAGACCAATCAGCCTGTTACCAACCCTTAGAAAACTTTTTGAATAAATGGTGTTTGACCAGATAGAATGCTATTTTACTGTAAACAATTTGACAACAGACTTTCAGCACCCTTATATGGAAGGACATTCAACAAGCATGGCACTTACATAAATGACTGATGATTGGCTGAGAGAAATGTATGATAAAAATATTGTGGGGGCTGTTTTGTTAGACTTCAGTGCGGATTTTGACATTATCGATCATAGTCTGCTGATGGAAAAACATATGAGTTATATCTTTACACCCTGTGCTATATTGTGGATAAATAGTTACCTGTCCAACAGAACACAGAGGGTGTTCTTTAATGGAAGCCTCTCCAACTTAATCCAGGTAGAATCAGGAATTCCCCAGGGCAGCTGTCTAGGAGTCATACTTTTTTCAATCTTTACTAATGACATGCCACTGGCATTGAGTAAAGCCAGTGTGTCTATGTATTCGGATGACTCAACACTATACACGTCAGCTACTACAGTGAGTGAAATGACTGCAACACTTAACAAAGAGCTGCAGTTAGTTTCAGAATGGGTGGCAAGGAATAAATTAGTCCTAAATATTTCAAAAACTAAAAGCATTGTATTTGGGACAAATCATTCACTGAACCCAAACCTCAACTAAACCATGTAATAAATAATGTGGAAATTGAGCAAGTTGAGGTGACTAAACTGCTTGGATAAACCCTGGATTGTAAACTGTCATGGTCAAAACATGTTGATACAACAGTAGCTAAAATGGGGAGAAGTCTGTCCATAATAAAGCGCAACTCTACCCTTTTAACAACTGTCAATAAGGCTGGTCCTACAGGATCTGGACTACTGTTTAGTCGTGTGGTCAGGTGCCACAAAGGGGAACCTCGGAAAATTACCATTGGCTCAGACGAGGGCAGCATGGCTGGCCCTAAAATGTACACAGAGAGCTAATATTAATAATATGCATGTAAATCTCTCATGGCTCAAAGAGGAGGAGAGATTGACTTCATCACTACTTGTTTTTGTAAAAAGTGTTGACCGGCTGAATGCACCAAGGTTTCCATTTAAACTACTAGCACACAGCACGGACACCCATGCATACCCCACAAGACATGCCACCAAAGGTCTCTTCACAATCCCCATGTCAAGAACTGACTACGGGAGGCGCAAAGTACTACATAGAGACATGGCTACATGTAACTCTATTCCACATCAGGTAACTGATGCAAGCAGTAGAATCAGATTTAAAAAACAGATAAAAATACACCTTATGGAACAGCAGAGACTGTGAAGAGACACACACACAGGCACACATACACATGATAAAACGATGTGATAGTGGAGTAGTGGCTTGAGGGAATACACTAAATGTATTGGGTAAAGTGTTATGAAATGTAATGCCATGTCATATTTTAAAGTATATATAACTGCCTTATGTTGCTGGACCCCAGGAGGAGTAGCTGCTGCCTTGGCAGCAGCTAATGTGCATCCTTAATAAATACAAATAGCCTATTTTATGTGGTTGAAATACTATCAGCTTTTATGATGAAGAAAGCACCTCTAGAGATGGTATCTAACAGAGCATTGCATTCTCTCAAGATGCAGAAAGAATGACATCATATTTCTCCACTCTTGTTCCAAGTCCACATTTTGCCTACATTTGTTGTATCATTTTCATTCAAGAAATGTTTTTTTCTGCAGGAGTTATTATTAAGGCTATGGGAGAGGTTATAGACCTACAGTCAGTGACCAGATTTAAGTTTCCATTTAACCCATCTACAGCTCCCTTGACATGCCATAGGCCTATTAGGAAGATGGCGCCCACAGACAGCTCTGCTTCTAGATCCTAAGCAACTTTGCAGTATTTTGTTTTTTTGTGTGTTATTTCTTACATTTTTAGCGGAATCACGGCTCTCTCCGGATATACTGTCCCCATCCTTACAGCCAGCTGGGTTCTCAGTACATCGCACAGACAGAAATAAAGAACTCCTTGCGAAGAAGGAAAGGCAGTGGTGTATGTTTTATGATTAACTACTCATGGTGTGATTGGATAATGTACAGAAACTCAATTCCTTTTTTTCACCCGACCTAGAATACCTCAAAATCAAATGCCGACCGTATTACCTCTGAAGAATATTATCTTCGGTTATAGTCACAGCCGTGTATTTTCCCCCTCAAGCCGATACCACGACGGCCCTCAAGGAACTACACTGGACTTTGTGCAAACTGGAAACCACATATCCTGAGGCCGCATTTATTGTAGCTGGGGATTTTAACAAAGCAAATTTGAGGAAAACGCTACCAAAGTTCTATCAACACATTGACTGTAGTACTCACACTGCTAAAACACTCGATTACTGCTTCCGGGATGGTTACAAATCCCTCCCCCGCCCTCCCTTCGGCAAATCAGATCACAACTCTATTTTGCACCTCCCTTCCTATAGGCAGAAACTCAAGCAGGAAGTACCCGTGCTAAGGTCTATTCAACACTGGTCTGACCAATCGGAATCCATGCTTCAAGATTGTTTTGATCACATGGACTGGGATATGTTCTGGGTAGCATCTGAGAATAATATTGACATCACACGGACACGGTGACTGAGTTGATCAGGAAGTGTATAGGAGATGTTCCCAGGGTGACTATTAAAACCTCCCTTAAACCAGAAACCATGGATAGATGGCAGCATTCGTGCAAAACTAAAAGCACAAACCACCGCATTTAACCATGGCAAGGTGACTGGGAATATGGTTGAATACAAACAGTGTAGTTATTCCCTCCGTAAGGCAATCAAACATGCAAGACAGTGGAGTCGCAATTCAACGGCTCAGATACGAGACCTATGTGGTAGGGTCTACAGACAATCAAGGATTACAAAGGGAAAACCAGCCTTGTCGCGGACACCGACGTCTTGCTTCCAGACAAGCTAAATAACTTCTTTGCCCGCTTTGAGGATAACAAAGTGCCACTGACGTGTCCCACTCCGAAGGACAGTGGGCTCTCGTTCTCCATGGCCAACGTGAATAAGACATTTAAGCGTGTTAACCCTCGCAAGGCTACCGGTCCAGACGGCATCCCTAGCCGCGACCTCAGAGCATGCGCAGACCAGCTGGCTGGAGTGTTTACAGACATATTCAATCTCTCCCTATTCCACTCCGCTGTCCCCACTTGCTTCAAGATATTCACCATTGTTCCTGTACCCAAGAAAGCAAAGGTAACTGAACTAAAAGACTATCGCCCCATAGCACTCACTTCTGTCATCATGAAGTGCTTTGAGAGACTAGTTAAGGATCATATCACCTCTACCTTACCTGACACCCTAGACCACTTCAATGTGCTTATCGCCCCAATAGATCCACAGACATTGCAGTCGCCATCGCACTGCACACTGCCCTATCCCATCTGGACAAGAGAAATACCTACGTAAAAATGCTGTTCATTGCCTGTAGCTCAGCCTTCAACACCATAGTACCCTCCAAGCTAATCATTAAGCTCGGGGCCCTGGGTCTGAACCCCTCCCTTTGCAACAGGGTCCTGGACTTCCTAACGGGCCGCCTCCAAGTGATGAAGGTAGGAAACAACACCTCCACTTCACTGATCCTCAACACAGGGGCGTCACAAGGGTGCGTGGTCAGCCCCCTACTGTACTCCCTGTTCACCCATGACTGCGTGGCCACGCACGCCTCCAACTCGATCATCAAGTTTGCAGACGACACAACAGTAGTAGGCCTGATTACCAACAATGACGAGACAGCCTACAGGGAGGCGGTGAGGGCCCTGGCGGTGTGGTGCCAGGAAAATAACCTCTCCTTCAACGTCAACAAAACGAAGGAGCTGATCATGGACTTCAGGAAACAGCAGAGGGAGCACACCCCTATCCACATTGACGGGACCGCAGTGGAGAAGGTTGAAAGCTTCATCACTGACAATCTGAAATGGTCCACCCACACAGACAGTGTGGTGAAGAAGGCGCAACAGCGCCTTTTCAACCTTAGGAGGCTGAATATATTTGGCTTGGCCCCTTAGACCCTCAGAAACTTTTACAAATACAAAAATGAGAACATCCTGTTGGGCTGTATCACCACCTGGTACAGCAACTGCACCGCCCGCAACCGCAGTGCTCTTCAGAGGGTGGTGCGGTCTACCCAACGCATCACCAGGGGCACACTGCCTGACCTCTAGGACACCTACAGCACCCGATGTCACAGGAAGGCCAAAAAGATCATCAAGGACATCAACCACCCGAGCCACAACCTGTTCACCCCGTTATCATCCAGAAGGCGAGGTCAGTACAGGTGCATCAAAGCTGGGAAAGAGAAACTGAAAAACAGCTTCTATCTCAAGGCCATCAGACTTTTAAATAGCCATCACTAGCCGGCTACCACCCGGTAACTCAACCCTGCACCTTAGAGGCTGCTGCCCTATATACATAGACATGGAATCACTGGCCACTTTAACAATGGAACAGTAGTCACTTGAATAATGTGTACATACTGCTTTACTCATCTCATATGTATATACTGTATTCTATTCTACTGTATTTTAGTCAATGCAATGCCGACATTGCTCGTCCTAATATTTATACAGTTGAAGTCAGAAGTTTACATACACTTAGGTTGGAGTCATTAAAACTTGTTTTTCAACCACTCCACAAATTTCTTGTTAACAAACTATAGTTTTGTCAAGTCGGTTAGGACATCTACTTAGTGCGTGTCACAAGTAATTTTTCCAACAATTGTTTACAGACAGATAATTTCACTTATAATTCACTGTATCACAATTCCAATGGGTCAGAAATGTACATACACTAAGTTGACTGTGCCTTTAAACAGCTTGGAAAATTCCAGAAAATGATGTCATGGCTTTAGAAGCTTCTGATAGGCTAATTGATATAATTTGAGTCAATTGGAGGTGTACCTGTGGATGCATTTCAAGGCCTACCTTCAACCTCAGTGCCTCTTTGCTTGACATTATGGGAAAATCAAAAGAAATCAGCTAAGACCTCAGAAAAAGAATTGTAGACCTCCACAAGTCTGGTTCATCCTTTGACGGAATTTCCAAATGCCTGAAGGTACCACGTTCATCTGTACAAACAATAGTACGCAATTATAAACACCATGGGACCACGCAGCTGTCATACCACTCAGGAAGGACACACGTTCTGTCTCCTAGAGATGAACGTACTTTGGTGCGAAAAGTGCAAATCAATCCCAGAACAACAGCAAATGACCTTGTGAAGATGCTGGAGGAAACAGGTACAAAAGTATCTATATCCACAGTAAAAACGAGTCCTATATCGACATAACCTGAAAGGCTACTCAGCAAGGAAGAAGCCACTGATCCAAAACCTCCATAAAACCCAGAATACGTTTTGCAACTACACATGGGGACAAATATTGTACTTTTTGGAGAAATGACCTCTGGTCTGTTGAAACAAAAATAGAACTGTTTGGCCATAACGACCATCGTTGTGTTTGGAGAAAAAAGGGGGATGCTTGCAAGCCAAAGAACACCATCCCAACCGTGAAGCACGGGGGTGGCAGCATCATGCTGTGGGGGGTGCTTTGCTGCAGGAGGGACTGGTGCACTTCACAAAATAGATGGCATCATGAGGAAGGAAAATTATGTGGATATATTGAAGCAACATCTCAAGACATCAGTCAGGAAGTTAAAGCTTGGTCGCAAATGGGTCTTCGAAATGGACAATGACCTCAAGCATACTTCCAAAGTTGGGGCAAAATGGCTTAAGGACAAGGTATTGGAGTGGCCATCACAAAGCCCTGACCTCAATCCTTTATAAAATGTGTGGGCAGAAATGAAAAGCGTGTGCGAGCAAGGAGGCCTACAAACCTGAATCAGTTACACCAGCTCTGTCAAGAGGAATCGGTCAAAATTCACACGACTTATTGTGGCAAGCTTGTGGAAGGCTACCCAAAACTTTTGACCCAAGTTAAACAATTTAAAGGCAATGCTACCAAATACTAATTGAGTGTATGTAAACTTCTGACCCACTGGGAATGTGATGAAAGAAATTAAAACTGAAATAAATCATTCTCTCTACTATTGTTCTGACATTTCACATTCTTAAAATAGTGGTGATCTAACTGACCTAAAACAGGGAATTTTTACTAGGATTATATGTCAGGAATTGTGAAAAACTGAGTTTAAATGTATTTGGCTTAGGTGTATGTAAACTTCCTACTTCAACTGTATATATTTCTTAATTCCATTCTTTTACTTTTTAGATTACTGTATTGTTGTGAATTGTTAGATACTACCTCACTGTTGGAGCTAGGAACATAAGCACTTCGCTACACCCACAATAACATCTGCTAAATATGTGTATTTGACCAATAATATTTGATTTGATTTATTTGAGATCCCATCTTCTGACTGTCGAATTTGTATAGCGCCTTAATCATCACACATAACATTGCTGGCACTGCTATCATCCTCTTTTACCACTTCACCAAAACATTTAAAAACATTACTTTTACTTTCGTAGCCCTCCCTTCTCTATATTTTCAACTCTCCTTTCTCAGCTTTTGTCTTATTGAATTAAACTTCGACAATGTTCCTATTGCCACCGTGGACTGATAACTTTTTCTGCCCAATCACAAAAGCATTATTTGGTGATTGGCTGTGTAGGCTATTTGGCATGTACAGATAAGCCCTGAAGTTTAGTCTCATGCACTTATACCAGATAGCCTAAAATAATCAGAATCAAAACCTCAATATAAAATGCATTTTTTGGGGGGTATTGTTTCTCTTTATTCAACCCGACTGAGTTTGGGAAACCCTGTGTTAGATGACAGCGTACTTTGAGCACCTCTGCAGCTATATCTGTCTCTAGCTCCTAGTGTAGCGCTCCTTCTACGGCCACATACAGCATGACACCACAGTGTAGAAAACCACAGAAATGAAAAGTATTATATTCATACTTTAATGTATTAATACTAGTGATATTCATATAATAATAAAATATAATCATAAGCTAATGTCACCTGCCAGCCCTTCAAGGAGGATAATATCAAGTCAAGTCCTAGGCCTTCAGTGGCACAACAAATGTGCTGTAAAGTGACACACCCATTGGTGATCTCCTCTGCCAATCACAAGGGTGAAGACACACCTTGTACTGTCGGTAAAGGGGAGATACATTTGGACTATAAACATACAGTATTGCAGCTTACTTACCACACCTATTCTAATAAACATGTCCTAAAGTGGAGTTGGTCCTGTTGTACTTTCCCGTCTAGCAAATCTTACACATGCAAAATAAAGATTTTATTTTTTTTTTTGTCTGGATTTTTAACATTATACACTCATACAGTGAGGGAAAAAAGTATTTGATCCCCTGCTGATTTTGTACGTTTGCCCACTGACAAAGAAATGATCAGTCTATAATTTTAATGGTAGGTTTATTTGAACAGTGAGAGACAGAATAACAACAAAAAAATCCAGAAAAGCACATGTCAAAAATGTTATAAATTGATTTGTATTTTAATGAGGGAAATAAGTATTTATATAATAAGTACTCCCTGTGGAGTAGGTTCTCCACAGGGTCGATCAGCTTGTGTCTCTTCAGATTCACCACTCTCTGATGAGGATCCAGGTGAGTCTCACAGTAAGAGGTCAGACACACCAGGCAGGACTTCAGGGCCCTTGATCTTTCTTGTAGAACAAACATCACAAGCAACCTCGCCAGGGTCAACTAAGCATTCTGGTATATTGAGTTCTCTTGATATGCACAGAGATCTCCTCTATCACAGAGTTGGTAGAGACCTCTGGTCTCACGTAGAATACTTTCTGACATTTCAGACACTGGCATATCTCACTGTTATCCCAGTGTTCACCTAATACAGGCTTTGCAGAAGGTGTGGTCACGAGTGGTAACTGGATCAGTGAACACATTCAGGCAGATAGAGCACAGGAACTGCTCTTCTGGCAGAAGGCGGCTGTCAACATTCAATGATGACATCTCTATGGGGGAGATATGTTACTGTGACTAAATTATTATGGCTCTTGAATCATCCATATTCTTTGAGTCCATATACATTTAGCCCATATATCCTACTTTAGGTTGATAAGAAATTACTTCAACGCAATTACTGTGAAAATACTGTAAAATACACATGTAAATATGTATAGAAAAAAAGTACATGCACAACATTTTAAGCAGATGAAACTGAACTACACTGCAAGCAAAGGCTAGTGCCTGTATCTTCAATAATAAGACTGGTCTCCATCCTGTTGAGGGTGACTGTCACGATCGTCGGATATAGAGGACCAAGGCGCAGCGTGGAAGGTGAACATACTTATTTATTAAATGATACACGAACAAAACAACAAATCGATACGTGACGTCCACAGGTGCAAAACACAAACCAACACGGAACAAGATCCCACAAACACTGTGGGAAAACCACCTGACTAAATATGGTTCCCAATCAGAGACAACCAGCAACAGCTGATACTCGTTGCCTCTGATTAAGAACCACTCCAGCCAACATAGATATACAAAAACTAAACTAGAAACTCTACACACCCTGGCTCAACTTAAAAGAGTCCCTAGAGCCAGGGTGTGACAGTGACTCACTGTACATGCATGTAACCCAACACTTCTTGCCAATTAACCGAAATCTAAAGTTGAACATCAGTTTCTTTCACTTCATCGTACAAAAGTAAAAAGACAAAAAACTTAGGCCTACCTGTTTTGTATGTTTTCTTTAGCTAGATTTGTCACGGCTCACTTCTCAAACGCAGACAGAAATCATCAGGACAAGAAAGAAAACACACACACACACCTACCGTACTCGCTCACTAGAAGATACATGCTGTTCCTTTTAGAAAGGAGAAGGATGAGTACATATTACATAATTTCACTGAAAATGAAAATTAGAACGCTCACTGGAAATGTTCACAGGTGAATCCCGCATAATTAGTTTGAGGTGTAGGATTTTCATACTTTATGATAACAATCTCACACGACATGGAGAAAAGACAAGCATACGCATACATTTATTGTTGAAAATCTATGTCAGTGTTTTTACATAGTATGCAGTACGCATCTGAGAGAGTAGGTTGAATATGCAAATAGGCTTAAAATGTTAAAGGAAAAGGCAGAGAAGAGTACTGTTATAATCATAGATACAATCAAGGCATGGCCACAGCAGGCCTTGGTTCAAATACTAGTTGATGCTGCTGGAGTTGTTCTTTCCTTGTTTACTGTCATCAATTGTACTTTCCCCTCTTGCAAATCTTACAAATGCAAAAATGTTTGAAACATGTAAATACAGCAGAATTTCACACACACATTTGATGACAACATAACAACTTTATATATTCTTTCATTTTATAACTGTTACCATTGTTTGTTATGAGGAAAAACATTATATATACACACTATATAGGATTGTATTACATTAGAAGAGACTAGTGAGCTGTGCCAAGTAATTTAATTTTGTGCAATATTGAGTATCTGGGCTTTTATGGAGAGTTTATCTTCACTTTGCGGTATTGGACAGAGTCCTCAAATGGTCGTTGTACTTCTTTATCCAATCGATGTAAATGACCAGCGACTCAGACTTCTTTTTCATGCTGTAGAGGTAAAAGTACGGGTAAAGTTTTCTGGTGAAGGACAGGCCAAGAAATGAGTAGAGGTGTGACTTTGCCAGCACATCATAAAAAGACACCTGCCCTTTCTCGTAATCCACATACACGCCAACTTTTCTCGGCATGGGGCTCAGATTGAGGGTGGTAGAGGGTGAAGAACGAGCCTCATACTCCAAGTATCCACTCTTTGACAGAACAAAGAAGCCATGTTGTGAATTCTTTTGAACTGCCTTCTTCCGGTTGACGGCCCTCATGGCAACGCCGACCTCCCACCTCCCACTCACGCCCACCTGGACCTCCCAGTAATGGCGTCCAGAGTTGAAGCCCTTCTCTCCTAAAACCGCTGAGTAGTAGTCAAACCTCTTTGGATTGTCAGACACCGTCTGGGCTGTTTTGGCGTACTTTATTCGCGTTCCGCCTTCAGAGAGCTGTAGCCAACGATTTGCAGTGTTGGGGTCCAGAGTGACTTCATCTGAGGAGCAGAGATATGAGCCAATATATCAGTTAGATACAATTTGCACAACTTATAACACAATTATGGGTCATATCATAGTTGTTAATGATCATTTATTTCGTTATCATTTTCAAAAAAATTCCAATTTATATCACCTTTGAACTCTTGCATTCTTGTGAGTTCTGTACGAAAATAGACAGCACATCATTAAACAATCCAGACAGAATATAATAGGACAGATTTGTGAAAATGCTTCTTTAAACAATATTAGTCTAAATTAATCTTACCCATTTCTGTAAGAACTTTTAGTTCTCCTCTTATGTTCTCCTCAATTTGAGACAAGGCTCTTCTCAAAGTCCCCACACACAGATCAGTGTTAACACTGACCCTGGACCATTTCTTAGTAGATGGAGGGGTGCGAAGGGACGGCAAACTCTACAACCCCAAAACATTTCATAATTATCTCATGAGTTCAGCGAGTTTTCGGTTCATGCATTTACATTATATTGATGATATAGATTAACCCTAACCTGTTGATGACAGAGGGACACTGACCTGTAGGAGGTGGAGGTGATCCTCAGTGTGTGAGAACTGCTCCAACTCAGTGCTTCTCCTCTGTAGCTCAGTGATTTCCTGCTCCAGCTCTTTTACGAGCCCTTCAGCTCTCCTCTCTGCTGCTTTTTGCCTCTCCTCTATTACCTTGACAAGCTTAGTTCTCCTTTTTTTTATAGACTGTAAAAGTGCAGTGAAAAGCTTGTCACTGTCCTCCACTTCTTTCTCAGTACTTTTCTAATGAAAAAAAGATGACATTTCAAGTTAATTATTTCAAAAGCAGAATATTGGGTTAATACTGTACTGTAAACTGCTTGAATATTGAAGAGACCAGCCATCTGATTAATTGATTGAATAATATCGATTTTGGTTTTTTTTAAAATGTATACACATTTTCCCACTGGCTAAATAAACATTATGGTAATCCAGTGTGGTAGTGTAACATGTTTTATTTTTGTCAGAACTTACTTTGCTGAGCTCCACTGAGCGTTTTATCTCCTCCATCTTTGATTGTCTGTCCCTGAATCATCTTCTGCACTTCTGACTTAGTGGACCCAAGCTCAGCCTGTGGACAATTAATAAATTATGCATGAAGGAAATTAAAAATAACGATATAATTTTTTAAAATACAAATGTATTACCTTTTGTTTAACTCCCTCCTCTTCAATGGGTACAGTATTGTGACACTTGTGGTCCGTCTCAGTACACAAAACACACACACATGTCTGGTCAGTTCTACAGAACAGCTCCAGGCCTCTTTCGTGCTTCTTACACATCCTGTCCTCCAGGTTCTCCACAGGGTCGATCAGCTTGTGTCTCTTCAGATTCACCACTCTCTGATGAGGCTCCAGATGAGTCTCACAGTAAGAGGTCAGACACACCAGGCAGGACTTCAGGGCCTTGAGCTTTATTGTAGAACAAACATCACAAGCAACCTCCCCAGGGGCAACTAAGCATTCTGGTATATCAAGTTTTCTCCTCTTGATATGCACTGAGATCTCCTCTATCACAGAGTTGGTGGAGACCTCTGGTCTCACATAGAATCGTTTCTGACATTTTAGACACTGGCATATCTCACTGTTATCCCATTGTCCACTAATACAATCTTTGCAGAAGGTGTGGCCACAAGGAGTGGTAACTGGATCAGTGAACACATTCAAGCAGATAGAGCACAGGAACTGCTCTTCTGGCAGAAGGCGGCTGTCAACATTCAATGATGACATCTCTATGGGGGAAGATATGTTATGATTAAATTATTATGGCTCTTGAATCATCCATATAATTTAAGTATCTTTAGCCCATATACTTTAGCACAGTATTGATGAGGTTCATAATAAATTACTTCAACTCAATGACAGTGAAAATACATATGTAAATATGTAGAAAATGTAAGTACATGCACTATACAGAGAAAATGCAGAGAAAACTGAACTACACTGCAAGCAAAGGTTTGTACCTATATAATCAATAATAAGACTGGTCTCCACCCTGTTGAGTGACTCACTGTACAGACATGTAACCAAACACCTCTAGCCAATTAACCAAAACCTCAAGATGAAAAACATCAGTTTCTTTCACTTTTTGTAAGAAAGCAACAACTCGAAAATAACATAATAAGTAAAAAGTATGACAAAATAACATACCTGTCTTGTAATTTTTTTATATTTTTTATTCTATAGCGAGATGTGTCTGGGCTCACTTTTCAAAATGCACCACAAGAATGACAACAGCGAAACACACAGTACAGTATTGTATTCCCTTTACTAAGGGAGGAGGATGAACGCTTGAGAGGGAGGAGCAGAGTGACATCATTTTGCTGAAAGTCAAACTTTAAACTCTCAAACAAAAACATTCCCACGTGAAACCTACATTTTCAGGCTGAGTGTGTTCAAACCTTTCAAAATCTCACAAGACATGGACCAAAGACAAATTGTTGAAAATCATTGGCATATTTTTTCACAATGTAAGTTGAATATGTAAATAGGCATGCAATGCTAAAGTGCAAGTTAGAAAACAGTACTATCATCATCATAGATACATTTAAGGCACGTTCAATTCTAGACCTGGGATGAAACCCATGTCTGTTAGATTCATCTTCACCCTGATATTTAATCTAGATTTTAACCAACAGGAAATATGCCATAAAAAACTAACATAAAAAAAACACAAAGAAAAAACACCCACACTACCTACCAACCTACAAAGATTATATGTTAAGGTATTTTCTGCACACAGAATTGTAGTCTTTCAGAGTTGTTTGTCAGAGTTGCAGTCTTTTTCAACAGTGTTCAACTGACATGGCGGATAGGGGGGCTGGACAAGTTTATAACATTTACATCTGCCACTTCGGGCTTAATAGTCTACAGTGCATTCGGAAAGTATTTAGACACTTGTTATGTATGGTTAAATCATTTAAGAACATGTAGATTCAATTCTTTACCAAGGATGATAAATGTCTGTCATCTGTTAACTTGTGTTATAATGATTGCATGATTTGTTTTATATATATGTAAGCAAAAACCAATTGATAAAATTTTGCAAGGTAAATCCTTGTCATATGGGACACAGTGGCCTCCATCATTCTTAAATGGAAGAAGTTTGGAACCACCAAGACTCTTCCTAGAGCTGGCCGCATGGACAAACTGAGCAATCGGGGGAGAAGGGCCTTGTTCAGGGAGGTGACCAAGAACCCGATGGTCACTGACAAAGCTCCAGAGTTCCTCTATGGAGATGGGAGAACCTTCCAGAAGGACAACCATCTCTATAGCACTCCACCAATTAGGCCTTTATGGTAGAGTGGCCAGACGGAAGCCACTCCTCAGTAAAAGGCACATGATAGCCCCCTTGGAGTTTGCCAAAAGGCACCTAAAGGACTTTCAGATCATGAGAAACAAGATTCTCTGGTCTGATGAAACCAAGATTGAAGTCTTTGGCCTGAATGCCAAGCGTCACATCTGGAGGTAACCTGGCACCATCCCTACGGTGAAGCGTGGTGGCAGCATCATGCTGTGGGGATGTTTTTCAGCGGCAGGGACTGGGAGGATTGAGGGAAAGATGAAGTGAGCAAAGTACAGAGAGATCCTTGATGAAAACCTGCCTCCAGAGCGCTCAGAACCTCAGACCGGGGCGAAGGTTCACCATCCAACAGGACAACGATCCTAAGCACACAGCCAAGACAACACAGGACTGGCTTTGGAACAAGTGTCTGCATATCC